TTGACTTGAAGCATTTGAAGTATCAAATTGACTGCAGCCTATAGTGATCTATCAACTCGACAGGGTCGATTTTTTCTCCCACCCCGAGAGAATTGATGAGGACATCATCTATTTTATTTCTATTTGGACTTTATTTTATTTTGTGGACTTTATTTATGTTTTAGATTTTTATTTATGTAATTGGGCCTGTATTGGCCTAAGTTCATTCTAGTTAGGGTTTTAGTCTTGACTATTTAAACCTAATTGGGATATAATTTCAGTAGTTGATGATTGAATAAAGATATTTGGTGGCTTGTGACGAAATTTCCTTCTTCCCCTGTTTTCTTCTTCCATCATCCCTTCCCCTGATTTCTTCTTCATGTTCATTGATTTTCTCTTTCTCTATTAATTTTCCTATTGGTGCTGCATCAGAAGCTTTTTTATTCACTGATCCAATCAATAGATAATGCATAGTAGTTTCTCAGCAATAAAATAATGAGATTAAGGTAGACAGATACTTGGGTCTGAAACGGTTAACTGGTATAGGCTCCTTGAGAAGAGCATTCAACGCATCCATTGATCCCTGTTGATAACATTGGTTAATTAATTCAATATATACTAAATTTGTAGCATTAATACAGTTTATTTAACTCAGTTATCAATTTGACTGACCTGAGATAGCAACAGGAATGGATAACCGTCAGAAAACATAACTTTGTATCCACTGGCATAATCAGGGTTCACAGCTCTAATTTCCAATGCTGCGTGGAAGAATAAAGGTCATGCTTCTGAGCACGTCTATGTACAGCATAACAATACCATACTCCTACTACAGTAATATCGCAGCCAATAAATTCTAGATGGTACTTCAGAATCCTTACTATACAATAGTTGTTTTGTTATTAAATTCTAATATTTGACCTAAAGTGTGTACAATTGAAGAAATCAGAGATCTATAAAAGATTTTTTTTGCATCAACAAATGAATACTTTTCTGGAAAATAAAACATAATAACAGATTGAATTGCATTCAAAACATAGAAAAAGTTCATAAATCACAAATTGAGATTGTCAGATAGACATACTCACGATTGTTTGTTTATTATCTACCTTCATTAAAGCGCACAAGCCTGCTGGGCTTCCCAAGATATTTGGAAAACCAGTTTGATGCATCAGCCCCTTCATCCAATGCAGAGCCGCACCACTCCCACACGGAGACACCATCTGCTGTTTCAGATGGTATAGCTAACGGAATCTTCAGCATATCCATGCCAGGAGCCGTTATCACTATAGCAGAATGTAAATCACAGTCATTTATAAAGCTATGACTGTACAGCCGTCAGTGATGGTACTAAAATTAACAATTCACACACGAATCTAGAATTCATACTCACTTCTAGAGGTATGAAACAGAACATAAACAAGAAAAACGAGAGAACACAGAGCATACATAGAGTATAATTAGAAAAGAAATTAAAAGCTATTTTGGTACCTAAATATGAATTATTATTTGGTTCCCAACCCTCTGAAAAAGCCTCTTTTGGAAGTTCCACTTCAACTAGAGCAAGCTTTGGCTCAACTCTTTGAGTATATGCCCTGCCTTTAGAATTCACCACTAACCACTGCCGATCCCAGCGAAAACCTGTAAATGCATTAAGGAAGATATTTTATCTGCTATTGTTTCTCGTACCAAGACTTAAACAAAAAATTGAAGCCTCTTAGAGCATATCTCTACGATTGTTCCTCAATGCAGGGATAATACAGTACAGGCTCAGGAAAAATGTACTGAACCGTGTAGAGAAGTATATATGACGGTTTTAAGAACAGCAACGGAATTACACACTTTCCAAGCCTTTTTACTTTTCAATTCAACAGGTGCAGAATTTGATTAAATGAATTTTGTTTTACAGGTAAATGTTCGTTTTACTGATAACAATCGCTGTTGGAAGAAATTAAAAGGAAAGAAATGAAAGTGAGATGCCATACCTGTGGTAGAGATAGGTGCTTGAAAAAGAGTAATTCCACGGCAAGATTTGATCGGGTATATGAATATTGACGTGACCTTGGCATTGGCGGCGGCGAC